AGTTGTTAGTATCCTTTGGAAATTTTCTCCGCGTAATGTATGTGTGTTGGGAAATGAGCAGGCAGATAGACTGGTCTGCTTCACACCACTTGAATGAGATGTTGTGAGGGCCCTATGGTAGCGAGTGACAGTGCACAGATACAGACAGATTATCACGGTCTCAGGAACATGGCGCTGCCAGGGGTTCCTGGATGATCCGGCCGACGCTGAACACTCAGTGGAAAGACGACACGGATACACAATCAGACACTAACTGGTGCCATAAGACTTGGAACACTTCGCTAGCTGCTGAAGATGGAGACAAAGCGCTTATAGGAGTGTCTTGAATGCTGTGATGTCGATTCCTAATTCATCATTCAACATTCAGGTTATAGTTCCATTCTTGTCATACTCAGATTTTATTTGTATCCAGCTGGCCACTTTGTCTTCACTTCTCTGCAACACAGCACATTAAATATGTTGTCTGCTCACTTCTTTCTCCACCAACTGCTGCAGGCAGGGTCAGTCTGTCGTCTTTTCCACTTCCTGTCACGAGATCTCTGTCTATCTCGCTGATGTCAATCACCGAGACAACCAAATGTCATTAAAAAGGGCCCTGACGTTCGAGTTCATTTAGTCTAAGACACGACACAGGCTTGCTTCCGTAGGCGATTTTTAGTTAGAGAGGTGATTCCCGACGAAGCACCAAGGTGCACTTCCGTGAGTGTTGTTGTAAAGCAGCCGATACCAAGGCGGAGCTCAGATCATGCCCTCAGATGAAATATTGATACGTTGCATCTCATCAGGCCACGGTACTCCACAGCAACATAGACAAGCTATGACTGTAAAGACAAAAAAAAAAATACCCACAGACAAACCTGGATGTCAGCCACAAATTAAGTCAATCATGCATGCATTGAAAATGTCTCCAACCTGATATATCTAGGCTAGATATCTGATATATCTAATCTACAGCAATGGAGTCTGTTCGACAGGAGTCAACAGGAGGATGACCTTAGCAATGCACACATGATACAGCATTAAAAGTAAATTGTTAAGTATAAGAAACAAAATCAGTTAACATTGTTTGAGAGCATGCATCTTCCCTGTAGCAACATACGAATGTGAGTCATCGACTATCTCCCCTGTTGTAACATACGAATGTGAGTCATCGACTATCTCCCCTGTAGCAACATACAGATGTGAGTCATGGACTATCTCCCCTGTAGCAACATACGGATGTGAGTCATGGACTATCTCCCCTGTTGTAACATACGGATGTGAGTCATGGACTATCTCCCCTGTTGTAACATACGGATGTGAGTCATGGACTATCTCCCCTGTAGCAACATACGGATGTGAGTCATGGACTATCTCCCCTATAGTAACATACAAATGTGAGTTATGGACTATCTCCCCTGTAGCAACATACGGATTTGAGTTATGGACTATCTCCCCTATAGTAACATGCGGATGTGAGTCATGGACTATCTAACCTGCTGTAACATACGGATGTGAGTCATGGACTATCTCAACGTCCCCACAGTTGAAAGTAAAGGCTTTTGAGCTGAAATGCTGTATAACGATCCTCAGAATACCAGCGTGGACGAAGATAAGTATTGACGTTCTAAAAAATCTCAAGAGACAAGTGAAATATTTTTGCCATATTAAAAGACATAACAGTATTGTAAAGATCATCCTAGAGGGAAAGGTTCAAGGTAGGCGAGCAAAAGGCAGACAGCTTTACAAGTGGGAGGATAACATCAAGAGATGGACGAACAGCAGTATGAGTGAGTGTACATCAAGGGCAAGAGTCAGGGCTTGTTGGGGATCCATTGCAGCCAACCTTCATTGTGGAGACGGCACCTGATTGATTGATTGAAAAATAGGACAGTAGAAAGAACAGATCAGATGGTCACTCCAAACACCCTGGAGTAAGGGAGGTAATGTTAGTATGATGGGTACAAAGATATAAGCATGTGTGGATACACAAAGACAAGTGCGTATGTAGGCGAATGGTAAGGGGTTATATGTGGACAGGAAAGTGGGAATGTAACTGCGAAAGATACAGATGAACGATTACATAAACATACAAAAGTAATTTGTATACATGTATATGTGTATATGAGTGTGTGTGTGTGTGTGAAAATATATATATATTGGAGCATGTATATTTATATATTTGTGTGTGTGTGAATGACAGTGCACTCCAGAACTCTATAAGTTAGGTTGTTGTATGGCTGGTAATTAATGAGAACATGGAATGAAGTGTGTGAACCAGCAAGAACCTCACCAACACACACCATTCACCAAAACATGATAAGAATGTAACGGACAGATCACCTACCAGGGACTTAAAAGTGACACGACCAAACTATAGTACAGTCATAGCGACACGCAAAAAACAGCTAAAACATGGAAGTGTGAGTGTCTTTACGTGTGGAAGTACACTTTTGTCATGAAAGTAAGTACATTTATGTAGGCAATGGTCGACACACATGAAAGAGTTTGCGTGTGTACGAATGTGTGAAAGAATGGCTACAACATGAGGAACTATATGAAAGTGTGGCTACAACATGAGGAACTATATGAAAGAGTCGCTACAACATGAGGAACTATATGAAAGAGTGGCTACAACATGAGGAACTATATGAAAGAGTGGCTACAACATGAGGAACTATATGAAAGAGTCGCTACAACATGAGGAACTATATGAAAGAGTGGCTACAACATGAGGAACTATATGAAAGAGTGGCTACAACATGAGGAACTATATGAAAGTGTGGCTACAACATGAGGAACTATATGAAAGAGTGGCTACAACATGAGGGACTATATGAAAGAGTCGCTACAACATGAGGAACTATATGAAAGAGTGGCTACAAAATGAGGAACTATATGAAAGAGTGGCTACCAACATGAGGAACTATATGAAAGAGTCGCTACAACATGAGGAACTATATGAAAGTGTGGCTACAACATGAGGAACTATGTGAAAGAGTGGCTACAACATGAGGAACTATATGAAAGTGTGGCTACAACATGATGAACTATATGAAAGTGTGGCTACAACATGAGGAACTATATGAAAGAGTCGCTACAACATGAGGAACTATGTGAAAGAGTGGCTACAACATGAGGAACTATATGAAAGTGTGGCTACAACATGAGGAACTATGTGAAAGAGTGGCTACATCATGAGGAACTATATGAAAGAGTTGCTACAACATGAGAAACTATATGAAAGAGTCGCTACAACATGAGGAACTATATGAAAGAGTGGCTACAACATGAGGAACTATATGAAAGAGTGGCTACAACATGAGGAACTATATGAAAGAGTGGCTACAACATGAGGAACTATATGAAAGAGTGGCTACAACATGAGGAACTATACGAAAGAGTGGCTACAACATGAGGAACTAAATGAAAGAGTGGCTACAACATGAGGAACTATATGAAAGAGTGGCTACAACATGAGGAACTATATGAAAGTGTGGCTACAACATGAGGAACTATATGAAAGAGTGGCTACAACATGAGGAACTATATGAAAGAGTCGCTACAACATGAGTAACTATATGAAAGAGTGGCTACAAAATGAGGAACTATATGAAAGAGTGGCTACAACATGAGGAACTATATGAAAGAGTCGCTACAACATGAGGAACTATATGAAAGTGTGGCTACAACATGAGGAACTATGTGAAAGAGTGGCTACAACATGAGGAACTATATGAAAGAGTAGCTACAACATGAGGAACTTTGTGAAAGAGTGGCTACAACATGAGGAACTATATGAAAGTGTGGCTACAACATGAGGAACTATATGAAAGAGTCGCTACAACATGAGGAACTATGTGAAAGAGTCGCTACAATATGAGGAACTATATGAAAGAGTGGCTACAACATGATGAACTATATGAAAGTGTGGCTACAACATGAGGAACTATATGAAAGTGTGGCTACAACATGAGGAACTATGTGAAAGAGTAGCTACAACATTTGGAACTATGAAAGTGTGGCTACAACATGAGGAACTATGTGAAAGAGTGGCTACAACATGAGGAACTATACGAAAGAGTCGCTACAACATGAGGAACTATATGAAAAAGTGGCTACAACACGAGGAACTATATGAAAGAGTCGCTACAACATGTGGAACTATATCAACGGGTCGCTGCAGTAGCAAGGCTGAGAGCCACCTATTGAAGGGCTCAAAAAAGGGGAGGACATCGAGGTCGACTCCGTGCAAGCGAATACAGAACATTCAAGACGTTCTTACTGGCTATGAAAGCACTTCCAGCTAGGGATTTGGCTACAGGAAGAGTTCCATTGAAGAGTGCCGTGTACAGGACAAGGCTGTGAGGGAAGGATGTGCTGACTGATGATGATGACGAAAGGGGAGGAAGAGAAGATGGAGAGCAAGAAATACATGGACACATAATTGTTATATATAGAAGAGGTTGTTGGCTGTCTCCTACAGTGACAGTAATAATACTGGTGACGAAGATCATTATGACTAGTTTGATGCTTGTTCCTCTATAGATTTTTAGGTAGAGTGATACATGTATGTAGAATGTTGTAAAGTAGTCTTGTGTGCAGCGTGCTGCATGTTGAGTAGTGTATGTAGAATGTTGTGTGCATTGGGCTGCATGTAGAGGGATGTATGTAGAACTGTATATCTAGATCGATGTGTGTAGAGTCCTGTATATAGAGTGTTGTGTGGTAGAGTGCTGTATCTTAGGGGCTGGAGCTATTTCATGTGATATGTCTTCTCACTATCAGCTATCTAAGTCATCATTGGACACAACGTGAGAACCAGCTCCGAGTTTTGCCAAATCCAGTTATACCTGATATAAAGTGAGCATAGCCGAAGAGCCTCGCCAGACTGCAGGTTTTCTTTGATCACAAGATGACACTGGCCGACACCAACCACTGCTCACATGTGCTTAAAACTGTTTCATTAGTGAAGTGAACAATCCCGTGTTCTCCTTTCCGCCTGAACTCCCTTTTTCGCTCTATGATTGTATGATGGGAATGATCCTCCCTATATCACCCCTGGGCTGATGCAAAACTGGGGTCATTTTCATCAGCATTCTGATCTGGTCCGGATTGATTTTATTCGGGTCATTTATAGCGCTCAATTCATAGCCATTGGAGAAGAGTTTGAACATAGGGGTGTTACAACCACCAAATCTGACACACACACAGAAGTCCGTAGCGCAGTCGACAGCGCCAAATCCGAACTTTTCAGTAAATGATGCGTTTGCAGCCTGCAAATATACATAACGTAAGATGAACTGGCATCATGTTAGTTAACACGACATTGGCTGAAGAATAACACGAATAATTTTTTACAGTAACAGATCCGTTCATAAACGGTTCGGAATTTCTGTCTGGACCTTTTCTATTTTCTTCTTCATGGCCTTGACCAGCTGTAAACTACGCTGAATGTTCTGGTTGTTTGTCCACTTCTGCACTTTGGTCTTGTTCAAGAAGTTGAGATTGCAGTGCACATCCGTTGTACCCATCTGGCTTTCTTGTGTGACTGTTGGTTTCTTGCCTCTGAGGCAGATGGACTCTGACTTGTAAGAGAACCCACAATTAGTCAGCTTTTATGACACGCTATTAGGAAGACAGTTGGTCTTTTTAGTCCACCCCAAACCCTCACAAAGTTCGCTCTCTGGCGGAGCCAGACAATTTTCAAAAATGAACTTAGCTCCCAGGTCGACCCA